GCAAACCAGTTAGAGCTGCTGAGACCATCGGCTAATCAGGAGAGAGAGGGGCAATTTAAGTTAGATGCTGGCAGTTTAACGATCAGACAGGGTTGAACTATCTGTGTGGGGAAAACCATTTTGATTCCCTGAGGGGAAGTTAAATTCTTGAAGGCACCAAAAGTCTAGCAAAGACTTGGCATGATAAAGAATGCTGCTTAAAAGTTTCTCTGCAAATTGATTGTGTTAATTAACTTTTGTGCCTCACTTGTGATTCCACCATGTGTTGAAACCCTCACAGTGTGTAATTATATATACATACAGATTGTTCCAGAGTGCCTCCTTAAACTTCTAGGTGGGGAGTGAGTAGACACCAAGGAGACTTCACATAAGTACAACACCTTGCTGCTGTGAAATCTTAAATGCTACCACAAACAGTTAATTATAGGTCGCTACTGTGTAATGCAGGAGAAGTTTTACTGGCAAAACACCCAAACTATGGATCACGTTACTCACCACCCATCTTCAGTGAGGGTGTCTGTCACAGGTGGCTTACTTCCATGTCTGGGGACACTGGTCTCAACAATTCAATACCCAGGTTTTGAGTGCAATTCTACACTGTATTGAAGTCCGCAGCAATTACGGCCAGCAAAGTAGCAAGATTTACCTACTTATTAAGGAAAAACTGCCAATGTTTAAAAAGCAAAGGTGAAAAGCCAACTACAATGCAAAGCACGAGTCTTACCTAAAATATAATTTTTCTGAATAGTCTCTAATAAAATTATTCACACAAAGCCTTATTCTCGAGCTGTTTCTAGCTTATGTTTAAAGTTAAACCTTTAATCCTTTCTCTGCTGAGCTCTCAAATGTTGCTGCCCAAATCTCTGAATCTTCTTATCTCCAAAACTGTGTCACTGCCTATAAAAAGATATCAGCTTGTCAATCATTATCAGCATATGCAATATTTATAGCTGCTGCTTCTATTCCAGTTAGAAGAACTATGACAAGCACAGCAGAAGGCAGCATTTATATTGGCATGGCCAAAAATCTTTAAACAGGTTGACACACAAGTGTATAGCTTGAGATGTCTCCTTCTCTAGATGTGACTAACTTAAGTAGTTTATTTGGTACTAGTGTTGTCATGAGCACTATCCTAGAAGTACCCAAAATAGCCACACACATTATGGGAATGAGTATTAGTGCTCTGTTAACGAATGAATTCATTTATTCTGGGTTATATTCAACTAAGTCATAATTGGAATATTATTATATTACTTATTAAATCCGTATACTGTCCTATAACTGCAGGTCTCAGGGCGGTTCACAGACATATTGATTTCAATATGTTTACTCAGAAAGAGTATGACTAATGCCAGTTATTATCCTTTATAACAAGCTAAATTATATAACACCTTTCTGCCAATGCATTCAAGGTGCTTTACAATTAAAAATAATAACACAAAATAAGAAGCATTTGTCAGGCCAATGGTGATTTCTACGGAACATGAGCCTATTGGCTTCTCTTTGTTTCTCTGTGTGTCTTTTGCACCAGATACAGTTTTCTGTTAAGAGCACAGCAATGTTCTATATGCCTACCACACAGATAGCTTTCATTGGATGAGGGATTTTTTTTTGAATTCTCACGGGGGTGGGGAGGAGCTTGGAAGAGCTTGGGAAAGGGCCAGAGTTCAGCAGTAGAGTTTTACATGCAGAATGTACCAGGTTCAATCTGCAGCATGTCAGGAAGGGCCGGGAAAGCTTACTGTTTGGGTGCAGCACTCCAAACTTTCAATCAGTGAAAACCAAGGATGGGAAACCTGTTGTTCAACTACAATTCCCATTTCTCTAACCACTGACCATGCTGGCTGGGGCAAATGGGTTGCAGTCCAAAACATCTAGTGTCCCACAAGTTCCCCACTTCTGGTGTGCACCAAACTGAACTGATCTGACTCAGTAGAAGACAGCTTCCTGTGTTCCAAAGCTCCTAAACTTGCAAAACTGGTCGGACCGGAGACATAAAAATGTAAATTGTTATATTAAGAATCCTAACAAAACTGCTTCTTTATTATTATATCTTAGAGGCAAACACTGGAATGCTTAATAAATGTAACTTTCCTTTTAATTCTTGTGTTTCCATAATCACTTTATCAGTGTCATAAAACTCTACCAGACTGCACCATTAGCTAATCCATTGCAATTATCCATTTTTATTTTTAACTTTTTACAGCTTCTTTTGTACATTACTATGCATGCAAACTGCCTAATGTAAGTAGTAATAAAGCTGCTAATCCTAATGGAAAGGTTAAACTTAATATAATTAAGCCTGATGTTCAATTAAAACTGCCCACTATGCTAAGCACAATTCCAGAAAAGGCGATAGTAGATTATCTATCTTGCCATCTAAACAGCAAACATACCTATTGTACCACCTTCCTATCACTGCTGGACAATAGTGTTTCAGTGGTTTGCAACCATTTTTCAGTGGTTTGGAAAGCCTTGACCAGCAATGATATTCCATGGATATTTTTTAACCTGATGGTTGCCAAATTACAATCTTTGTAAAATAAATACAATATGGATGGAATGACTGGCCTCTTTTATGTATGTTACTGAAAATAAATTCATGTATAGTACAGTACAGGAGGCATGATCACAACCACAGTTTGATACAAGCAGTACTATATACTTGCTTCTCATTAAGCAGAGCTTAGAATTTGTTCTGATATTTCATGTGTCTGAAATCTATTGTCTATGTCTGACTGAAAGAATAAGGATCCTTTAGTCAAAGGCTGTGCCCTCCTTCGTTAGTACAATGTCATGTACAATGATGGCATATACTATGTCATTTTAAGAGATTATGATACAAACAAGGATGTTCCCTATCTTGGCTGAAATCCAGTGAACATTTAAACATTATTATGAAAATGGCCTTATCCCACTGATTTCTGTCTGGGGTGGGAACCTCCAGCCCACAGGCCAAATACAACACCTTTTATCCAGCCTTGGAGACTCATCACGTCCATTCCAGTCTTGCCTCTGCATACTCCTCAAGTGCTTCGGCCTACCTAGAATGTGTCTTTGAAATGTAATGATGCATTTTGCTTGCCTGGGAAAATGCATAAGATAGTGTGTAGAAACCTCTGTCTTCTCCATGACTAGTCAAATCCAGTCCTCAACCCACCTTTGGTTCTGGCCCTACTGCCCACCACTGACATGCAACTCCTGGAAGCTTGCCCATCAGGGAATGCAGCTGAAAAGGTACCCCGACCTTGTGTCAGATTTAACCTTAGTGTTTTAGTACTAGCATGTCATTTCAAGGGATCAATACGTTAACTTTGTCAGATGCATTGGTCTTAAGTATTCCTCACTTGGAGATATAGTATAGAGAGAGAGAAGTTAGGTTCAATACATGTAAAAATCAAGCAAACATATTTCTACTGTTCATCTCCTTACCCCTGAACTGCAATCAGGATTCCATAGGAATGCTAGTGATAATATACATTATGAAGTACACCTTAGGAAATTTGATGAAGAGTAACCATATTTTTTAATCTGGAAATATTCCTTGAAACCTCTGGAAATCCCATTAATTAGTGTCTCCAACTATGATATTTCTTAATAAATTAGAGCAATATGGTAAATGGTATCTCATAAGGAGATACTATGCTGCAATTAAAATCTAGCAGCCCCTGCAGATAGGACAGTGGGACTGTGACAAGACATTGGCAGTTACTTTAGATCAGAATCCTGTTTGCTGGTCCTCTTTCAGCCTACATGCATTCAAGAAGTCTTACAGAAAGGCTCTCTGCTCACATAGGTAAGCCTATACGCAAACTTTTTGTGCATACATTAGATTGTGCATAAAGTCTATTACATCTCCTTCTACATTTCACCAATTAAAATACAGTTTTGCTATAGATCCTTAATAGTTGCAACTCAAAAGTCTACATACAAGAAGCAGAAAGCAAAAGACCTGACAACAAGGCTATTCCTGACTAAACCAAACCAATCACTAAGTACTCTAGGGCTTAGCAATCTAGTAAGTCAAGTTACATACCTAAAGTGAAAGACAAAAAATTCCCATACCAATTTAACCCAGGTGAATATGGCTTTCTTAGCTCAACATGGGGTACAAGCTATGCCCCAATTTCAAAGCAAAATTTGAACACCAAGTTCTGTCTGAAATCAATTTCCAGCCTTCTATTGCATCACCACAAGCAGTTACTAAATTGTATTTAATCTTTGAAAGAAAGACACACTGCATATTAAACACCTCTGATTCTTATTACTTACACACTACTACTAAAAGTGGAATTTCTCTTTGCCCTGTTCCCATTCCTGCCCCTCATCCATCTCTTTTTCCTCCTCCCCTGCTCAGCACTAGAATAGCATAATCTAGCACAGGTATGGCTAAATGGTGAAGCACTATCTTGTAAGCCTACAAATTGGGCCATCCCTCTCATAATTTTATTGTGAGGCCTAATATAGTGATAGGCACCATGTAAGTAATAAATTATTACATTATTATTAAATAAATAAATGACATTATTAAAGATCTGCACCCAAAGACAAAGGCAAGTAGTTGACTCTTGACCTTACAGAAACTAGGGCCTCTTAGAAGTTCCCAAAATGGAATGCTTTAAAGTAATTTGGAGCATTTACTGAGTTCCTGTATTTTGCAGCTACAAAGCAACAATCAGTAAACCACAAGGATTAGGATTGGAGATAAAGGCTTAAGCAGTAGGTAACAGAAGCAGAGCAAATATACACCAGACTCATTTAAGAAACTCTCTCCACTATCACACCTTCTACTGTGTGAAATAATGGCGGAATACTATGTGAAAGAGGCCTTTAATGCACCAGATATCACATAACAAATTAGTGAGGTGAAAATACGGAAGTGTGTTGTAGGCGATGGAACTAGTGCATTTTAAAGATTAGGTGCTAAATTTTAAAAGTCTAAAACAACTATGGCAGTACTAGGCAGGGCAACTAATATGTGCACTACCACCTTACCTTACCTTAGTTATCTTGTTTCCCACGAAGACCACTGCTACTGGTGTCTCCCAGAAAGAATAAAGCCTCAGACTGCTTTCCCCTCAAACCAAGAACTTGGCACAGGAGCAGAAAAGGAAGATTTGTTAGCCACGTCCACGGGAGAGACCTACAACAAGGGGGGGGGAGAGATGTTACTAAATGACAAAAAATAAGCTACTCCCGCTTATTGTTAAGCAAATAAGCTTTCAAATAAGTCCCCAAAGAGCAAAAGGGTGGTTTGCACATGGAATGGGTTGCTCCACTCCTATGATTGGGGGGGGGGGGAGTTTGCATTCACTAGTGTATGAAAAACATACTAACATGCTGCCAAGCAGATACTAGCCTAGGCAACTGACGAAGAATTTTGGAGTTGAGGAGAGACCTGCTAGTAACTTAAAAGAATATATACATGCAAAGCTTTTCCTAGGCAACAGGCTGACTGAGGCTGTATTCCAATTGCTAATTTACTTGGGAGTAGCTCCCATTTAACAGAGTGGGCCTTTCTTCTCAGTAAGCAGGCCCAGGGTAAATTTGGGGTGCAGCAGTTTGGTTTTTTTAACAAAAAGACAGAAGAAAATGTTACTAACTTCTCCTTTTTCACGGAAGAAACCCAAAGGTTTGCTTTTATTTCGTCTGGAGAGGGAACAGCTGCAAAATTAATCGCAAATTTGCATACCAGTCAGACAAGACTGTAAATTTTTAGTGTGGTCAGCATTTGTTGGATACAAAACCCCTTCATTCCCTCAGAACAGACAAACCACGACACCCGTCCTCCACAAGGAACACCTACCCTGAAACAGGTAAGACTGCTACTTCTAGCCTACAAATGCAACTGACTCTCTTTCTACAGTAGGGAAGAGTGGAGCAGCCTGGGAAGAAGGGGCGGAGCTGGGGCTGCTGACTACACTGAGCATGTGCAGCATTCCAAACTAGCTGAGTTCTGATTTAAATGCAGGTGGGCTGCAGCTGTTCCTGATGTTCCTAGTACAGCAACACATCTCTGATTATCATCATCAAACAAACGTGGTAGAGCTGGGTGGTTCAGGTATGTGGAGAGTAAGCTGTTGGATTCATCCTTGGGGGATTGAGCTAGGAAAGGCATGTCTGGCTCATGTGTCCATTCTGCTTGTCATATCTTAAGAGACGGGCTGTTGTTATTTTGCTAATGAGTTCAGTAATGGGATGGCACAGAAATATTGCTTATAATGAAACAATAAATAATGCTGGTACAGTAACCCTCCCTAGCACCAGCCAGTGTTGTATCTTTTCCTGGCCTTCTCTGCATATAAATGAAGTGTAAAAGTAGACAGCGATCCCTCATAAAACCTTTCCTTCCACAACCAGACAAATTATAATCACTAGTACAGGTATGAGGAACCAGTGGCCAGCATGGGTGGGGAGGGATTGGACACTGGAGAGCCGTAGGGTTTTGACAAGCCCTGGCAGTTTGGCTGGCCGAATGGATGCGGCATAAGATCTTCTGAGAAAGGTTTCCAATCTACGCTCTCCAAACAAGAACTGAAGGCTGCAAAATCCTGCCTTACATTCTCACAGCCAAAGGGGAATAGTTAAGGCCTGCCACTGCCAAGTTGGAATGGAATAGGAAGCATGTGTAACTGACCCTTTCTAATTAGGATGAGACCATGGCTCTATTCAGGCATTTTCTCCATTTTGCTTGTTGCGGGCATTGTGGAAAATTTAAATTGTGATTCCCAGCCCCCCCTTTTTTTCTGGTGATCGAACTGCTGCTCCTAGGTTTTAGCTATCTAGGAATAGGGTTCATCTGAGGGCATTTTGCTAAGGGACACTGTAAACCAGCCTGAAGGAGGAGTCAGTCTGTTTCAGCCACAAAATAGGTTGATTTCTTATCTCAAAGGAAGAGAGAATCCTCTGTATTTTTTCAGCACACATCCTAGAATCTTGGTACGTAGTGTGCTTTTACTGAACTAGAAGTGCCGTCCTCTTTTGTCTGGGAATGCCTGCTTACCCTCAGTAGAAGAGCACAAAATAAGTAACAGGATGGAACAAACATCTCATGCAGGCTGTTGGAACGTGCTTCTGAGTGGCAGGTGTAACACCTTTATGCAATTATGAAGTATCCTCATATCTGTGCATTACATTCCTAGCAACAGCTGTCAGTGATGTGGAGACAATGCAGGCACATGCAATTACAGTGGACCCTCTGGATATGAACTTAATTCGTTCCAGGGGTCCTTACGTACCCTGAAAGTCCGCAACATGAGGTGCTGCTTTAGCGCACGCACATGGCGCAATAGAGCACTTCTGCGTATACACTTCCAGGTTTGCTGTGTTCGCAACCCGAAAGTTACGTTACACGAAGGTAACGTAACCCAAGGGTCCACTATACTGATGTGGCAATGTGCTGTTTGGATACTGTTGGGTATGCCTCTAGTCAGTAGAAGGTAGGGTTGAGACAAAGAGGAGAAATATACATTGTGATTTGCCACTAAGCACTTAAGCGCCGCCCCTTTCTCCTGGCCTCTCTTATGCAAGAGTATGCCATGAAAGTAGCTCTAGCCATGTAGTTTTAGATTCAGAACCCATCCTTGTGAATATCAAGTAACTGTAAAGAAGGAACTTTTTTTCTTTACTAATGGAGCTTCTGTATGTTTTATTTTGCCTTTTAAGCAATGCCAGTGACATGTGAAAATGAGACAGGTTGGGGGGTGGTGAGAGTAATTCCAGGCAGCTCCAGTTTCCAAGCTTTTAACTCTGCTGCATATGTGTGTGCGCATAAAATAAACCAACCAATTTAATTTTTTTAATCTATCAAGAACTAATGTGATGATGTGATTTTCAGCACTAGTCAAGAGGAGCTAAAGTATTTAAATTGGCCTGAGAATCAAGCTGTTAGTTACACATCTACAACTTGTATACTTGTGTCACAAGCATAATGCTGTTGGGAAAGTGAATAACTTCTAAAAATGGAAGTTAGTCAGAAGTGTTCATTTACTCAGATTCTCCTCGGCTGTAATGGATGGTAAATGTTTGCTTTACTCTGTGTAGGTCCCACATTATAAGAAATTGCAATGAATATTCATTTTGTTGCCTTACCACTTTACCATCAATGAAAATGAGGGATTAACTAAGGCAATACTTTATTTCCTTCTGTAATTGTGAATGCATAACATTCATTATATTATTAATCCATCTTGAAATGTTCATACAAAGCTATTTTGAGCCATTAGTTGCGTCACTGTAATTGATGGATTACTGCATTAACGTTTAATTTAGTTTTGTTTTCAAGGCATAACACTCAGTTTCATTCAAGTTAATTGTATAACCAAATAAGGAAATAAATTGTTCCAGGAGAAAGCATAATGCAATTTAAGGATTCTTCCCAATTCAAGCGATTTGTTTTTGTCCTCAGAAGAAGTTGCAGTTTAAGTTTTAGATTTGAAATCTAAAAATGCCACACACACACATCAGGCTGAAAGGGGGGGGGGAGTTTTTCAGCTGAAAATTGTGCTTGAAAGAAATTTGAACAATTTTTTATTCATAAAGGCTTGATAAATAAATTCTTAAGTTTCTCTTCCTCTACCAGAGTTTAATTCCCTCTCCAAAATCAAGACTAGGTAAGGTATTATTTTCATAACACATAAATCAACAAATAAAAACTAGACTCTGTTAAATTATAAAATACTAGGATAAATAAAAATTATTCAGTATGGCACACCAGATTCCCCATCCAATTGTGTATTTAAAAGTCACCAACATTATGTTGTTGTTTGTTGTTTCTCAAATTATGCTTATATTTAAAATGTATTATATGAGCCATATTTGTATTCACTTGTCTGTGCTAGTAAGAACATTTATCTAATACAAAAAATATGCATATGCCCATTTGGCTTCTGTATGTTTTTGAAAACTGTGTCTCAAGTCTGTGAAATGTTAGTTTAAAGTTTCGCTGGTGCAGTAATTTGCTTTTTTCCTCCTAAGCTTTTATAAGAAGCTGTTTATACTTAGGCCACGGATACATCTAACCCCGCACCTCTACTTTGACTGGTACTTCCCAGCGCAAAACATGAGGTTTATCATTCAGAAGTCTCTCCCTTTCCCCAAAGGTCCAGTCTTTTTCACCTTTTGGGCAGAGGTTCCACCTTGAGCTGACCACCACGGCACTGCAAACAAGTAGGTTACTAGCTGTGAACTGCTCTTTATCTGCCGATACAGCAAGTCTTAGGATCAGGCTGCAAGGGGTACATTTTATTATATATTGTTTCAGAAAGAAAAATGAAGAGAGAAACCGCAAGCGTGAGAAATTACTCTGGTAGATGCAGCATAGCTCATTTGCCTCCAGCATCAGCTGGGGGTAGATGTCATATATTCATGTCATGGCATAATGGCACACTCTAGGCTATTCTCATATACATTCTCATTCCAAGCTCATTTGTCAGTTGTCTGTAAATCCAACATCTTCCTCATGCGGGCTAGTTTATATATCTTTTTCTCAGCTGGTTGTAAACAAATTCCATGTACTGTATGGCAGGTGACAAATAGATGGAATTGACCAGGTGAGGTTTTGGTGCAATCTACACATTGCAGATAGGCCAGGCTGCAGCTTATTTACTGGAATTATTTGGAAAGGAAGGCAGCTGTCATATCACAAGAATATATATATATATATAAATAGTTGCTTTGCAGGACTGAACCCATTGTTGTTGCTTAGAAGGATTTGCTTTGTACTTGTAATTGATCGCTTTGTAATGGTTCAGCTTAAATGCATAAATCATTATGAAGCACTTAGGCAGTGCTATATTCCTATCCCATTTGGTGTCTGACTTGATCATATGGGGAGGGGGGAGGTTGGCATCATGCATCTACTTGCATGCATTGGGAATCCCAGTAGTGGCAAACCATGTGACTGTGCACAAGTCTGTGAGGGTACAGTCATATACTGTACTTAGGTACAGTCCTTTGCCATATTTGGGGAATTCCCCACATATGAAGAAATAAATTGGTTTGTTAGTGATAAGGAAATGGTGTGCTGTTGTTCTGAGTGACTTCCAAGATCCAGCCACAGATTGTTGAGTGTCAGCTGGGGAAAAAAGGAAAACAGATGGGTGACCTGGTTGAACCTCTAAATATCTGGTACCCTGGGGGGATGATTAGGGAGTCAGGGGAATGAGTAACTCTGTGTTCCAGGGGTGAGAACCCTCAGATCCTGAATGAAGCCCCCCAAACCTCTGTTTGACCTTCAGCATCCCCTCTCACAGGCGCTGTTTCACACCATGAGTGTTTTTACCTGGCTGGAATGTGTCCTTGAACCCGGATAACGCCTCTGTCTTCTTCGTCCTCAGAAATTTACGTTTATTACTCTGCTCACTTTTGCCTCTGGCCCCACCCACAGTGGTATGTGGCTCCTGGAAGATTGCCCAAGAGGTGATGCAGCCCTTGGGCTGAAATAGTTCCCCTAGCCTGCTGCACACTGTACATAGCACTGACTGAAGAGGGAACAGAAAATGGGCACCTCCAGAAACTCATCCTGCACCCCTTGGTACACTAATAAAATGCTTGGGTTCAGGGCTGACAGCCCCAAACCTGAACCCACCAGCACTTTTTAGCACAGTAGGGGAATGCTTCAGAAAGGGAGAAGAAAAGAAATTATAAATATATATATATTCCTTTTATTCTCCTGAAATTACTTCCACCCCACTCAGGAGCTTTAATGGTACTCAAAGGCTGCCTGGAGCTCTGAATAGGAGCATCCTGGACAGTGACTGAAGAAAATTTTGTTGCAAATCATACCTTGTAAGATTATATTATCATGAAGTATATAATATTGTAGTTGTTTAGGTCAGATTGCCTCGGCTGTTTTGTTGCCATATCGTGAAAAGTCATGTGGGCTCTGTTCACAAATATACAGGCTCACTTCCCATTCCATTGAAATCTCATCTTCAAATAATGCTTCTTTCTATAATCTAAATCTCCTGCTTAGAGCTCATCCACAAGCAGTCAAAGCAATTACCTTTTTAACTTTGTCCTCCTTGTATATATTAAAGCAGGATTTTCATAAGGGTTCTT